TCAACAACTTTCAATTCCCCCCCCCCCCCCAAGTAATTTTGTGTACATTTTTATAACCCCCCTCCCCCCACCCCTCCCAAAAAAAAGTGCACTGTAATATGAACACATAAATACATTTTACTTTGTGCTGATCTATTTTAATGACACAAAATTGTAGGAAAAACAATTACATCTTTAGCGTGATAATCAACAAGTTAAAAAGTTTTTGAACTTAAATTTTATAATTCAGAATCAATGAAAATTGTTAAAGACTAAACTATCATTCTTTGTGGAAGTATACATATGATTATTGTCAGTATAGCTGACAATTGACATCGTTTCTAGCTGCTGTCATCTTCCCAGGGAGCCGCCAGGTGTTGCTGTATCGTAACAATGGGCATAGGAGCTGATTTATCACGTACATATTGCGGAACGGATATACCAGAAAAGTCAACATCATCCTCCTCTAGCCATTCAGCACTTACAATAGAAGTATTGTCAGTGTGAGCAACACTTGCCATAGGCTCTCTCTCTGTCTCCTGACAGCTACTTGCATTAGTCGAATCCTTTTTTTGTTGAGGGGCAGGTGGTAATTTCTTGTGCTTTGTCGGTGCTGTTGAGCTTGCTATTTCAACATGACTTTTGATGCAAAATAGATGTTGCAGATTCTCCAAATCAGTTCAAGCAGCTATGTTGTTATTGTCACTCACTTAACTTTCCCCTAATTCTCAAAATATCGTATTCCTACTCTATCAACATCATTTATCTTGACGGCACATGACACTTGAACCTTGTCCTTGTTCCATATCTGCAACATGATTGCAAAAATAGCGCCCTTGTCCTTTACGGAAAACAGATTCTACAGGTGAAAAAAGGCCAACTTTTGACTTCTCTTGCACTATCAAAGTGTGCTAACATTCTGACCAGCCATCTGCAGTACACAGACAGACACAAATTAAATAAATCTTACATTGTTAAAAGCCTATAAATTATATAACTATTTTAATTTAAACTCATTAAATTTGTTAAAACCATGTAATAATCAGTTAATTTTTAAGATTAAAATTTTAATACAGAAATCATGATTATTGACGTCAAATAATCTAAGCCCCCGCCCCCGAAGCAACAATTTTCAAACATTTCCAACGGCCCTCCCCCTATTTTATTGACATAATAAAAGGACGACCCATTATCTTTAAAAAGCATTTGCGTAGTTAGGGTAAGTGCCACCCAGGGTGGGACTCATTATTTGCTGCGTCGTTCCACGAAAAACCCCTGCAATTGGCCGAAAATGCCTCACATCATTAAGAAAAATGATCTCTCCACCTTATGCAATACTAGTAATAGTTCTAATGTATTAATAGTTTTTCTAACTTAATGAAAATAACGTAGCACCATGACGAAAATGTATCCTAGACACAGCAAATGCGATTCTTCCATCATCAGACATGGAGCATTGAAATCTGGTATCACGTGTTATTACTGTTTATAACCCTTCCCTTAAACATACGAGTATAAAAGAATGAGGGCATGAGTGGTATCACTGTGGCTTTCCAAATAGTCTCTTCTATGGGCATCCTAGATAGTTCGAAATAAATATTTGGCCAATAGTGAATGGAATTGCAAAAAAAAAAAAAAAAAAAAATATTTAAAAACCGTGCAACTCTTTGTTATCAAGAGGCGCCTTCGCTGGTTAGGTCATGTACGGAGAATAGAGGAAGGACGGAGCCCAAAGATACTGCTGTATGGAGAGTTGGCAGAAGGGACAAGACATATTGGACGACCGCGCCTGAGATTTATTGACGTTTGCAAACGAAATATGAGGGAAGCCAATGTTGAAACAAACGAATGGGAGTTCATTGCCGAACATCGCTCCAACTGGCGAACAGCAGTGTTTGTAGGAGTAAAAAGGGCAGAAGATACTCGAAACGAGGCCATTGAATGAAAAAGAACAATTCGGAAATCAAGATCTTACCGGGATTCAATATTCTCCTGCGAGAGATGCGGCCGTGATTGTCATTCTAGTATTGGCCTAGTGAGCCACACGTCAAAGTGTAGAGCTACATAGCTACTCCATCGTCTCACGAATACGGAAGGATGCCATATATATATAACTCTTTGTGGAGGATGATGTCTATGTTGAGGATGATGTCTACGTTGAGGTCAAAATAGTTCACTGCACGAAGACTGCAATCTACAGCCCAGCAGACGATTAAAAATGGAATGAGTTATCAGCGCACGAAATAAATTTTGCACACTATTTCCATAGTATTTTTGTTGTGTACCACCGTGGCCTACCAGCCATGTGGCATCATTGTCGTGTGACTGCCAACATCGGTTTAATAAATTCAGGCTAATAGTGAATTCGGTAGTGGAATCGCGTATCATTAATTCACACCTGCTTTCTCCAGGACAATCTCGTAGTCGCAATAAATATTTCTTTATTACCCAGAGTCGTTGCGTGACCCTTTTACCTCAATGTCTCTCTTCGGGTATGTTGATGAGCTATTCAAGAATATTGATTTAAAGTATTTTCGAATAATATTTTTTTCCACCCACAGTTATGAGCCTTTTTTTTTTTAAAATATGTTTAAGTCATGACACCTGCCAGTGATCTTATTGACTGAATTCAACCATTATTTTGAGCATTTAGATAACTAGATTACAGTGCTTCTCCGGAGTCTCAGTTTGGCCGTCCAGTGGCAAAGTTTCTGATTGCGTCAGGGACAGGTAAAAGATTTATTAATTATTGTTCTTATTATTTGACCTTAAATATGGCATAACATTTTTTTTGGAGTTAAATAGTTAATGATTATTTTTTTCAAAATAATAACCGCGGAGGATGGGGACAGGAATTAAGTAAATTTATTTATTTTAAAGTTCTACACTAATCATCATGAAACTCTGACAGTACAAAAATAGCATATTGTTAATATCCCCAATGCTGTAAACCAGGCCTGAGCAACATACGGCCAGCACCAAATTTGCGGCCCACGAGGTAAAGAAATATTCTCTAATTATTATCATTTTGTCCACCCCGTCCTATTTTACTCTCGGCCCGCACACGTTTTGAATAACGTATGCACGGCCGGCGTTACATTTTTTGAGTTCTTCACACCTGCCGTAAACATAGCACACATATTTGTTGTTTTCTTTTTTTTTAAAGGAATTATCGTCATAATGTTGCCTAGTGTATTCACAAATGAATTCGCGAGATATCACTCAAACAGTACGCACTAGTAGTAGTATTACAATAATATTTAGTCCACCATTTCTTCAACGTGCATGAGATGATTTTTTTTTCAGTCCCCAGCGCCCTTGCAAAATTAATTTTTTTCATCTGTCGCCATGTGTTAGAAAAATGCACTTCGAAATAGCGTATGCATTTTTAAAAAAATATACATATATATTTATAAAAAATAAAGGGTTGGGTAAAAATAACAATAATACGTATGTAGGTAACAAAGCGTCATATTATAAATGCACATGGTAGCTCATTACTCTTATGGGTCGAGATTCTATCTCATAGGACCCTGGTCATGAAACATGGCCCAGTAGTCCCTAAGGACTCCGGCCATGCAACACGGTCACGAGTAGAGTGGGGGGTTGGGCAGTTTGCTTCCACTCATTTAAGGGACGGTTTTTGCGTCGCCACCCCCCCCCCCTTGCCCATTGAGTCATTCGGTCTGGACGCTGGTTTGGAGCGGCTTTGCTTCCTCTCCGGGGCTGGTGTTGCGTTACCTCACCCCACCGTCCAGAGAGCTGAACGGTTTGAGGTGTGGCACAGCTTTACTTCCTCTCCGGGAGCAGTCTCGAGCATGACTTTCTCCCACCGTTCCCGGGAGTTGTACGGACTATGGGTCGAAACAGCTTTGCTTCCTCTCCAGGGGTAGGTGTTGCGTTACTTCTCCCCACATGGTAGCTACTCAGGCCAATTAGTGTTTGTTCCAATACCGCGAGATGTCACATCGGATTGAAACCGGAAATAAAATTAAGAAAATTGTGAATTATATCGCGGGCCCCCTTAAGGAAGTCCATAACGAGGACAAGCGGCGCCTCGGCCGAAGACAAATAATGGTGCCCCTTACTAATATATAGAAAAAATAAAAAAAGACAAAATGTTGGCGCCCCTTGTCTTTCTGACGTATATGTGATTTTATAGGTTAATTCACTATTAAGGTCCTAGCTAAATACCATTTCAGCGCCCCTGATGTTGGCACCATGTGCGACTGCCACCTGCGCCCCATTCTCAAGGCTTTGCCCCAGCGCGACGTGACACCCAGAACGCATTTGTTTTATTTAGGTGAAGTCATAACATCTCTAAATTATTTAATTTTGATTTTGCTTTGTTTTTTTGTTTTTTTTGGGGTGGGGGGGTCAAAAGCTTCTTTGTACGTAGGCATTGGGAGTGTCCAAAGAAGTACACATGCACCTGGGGCGGTAGGGTACCAAAAATTCGCGTACGCACTATAGGGATGTCCCTAATAATATATTTGTCTATGAACAGCAAGTATTGATTTTTGCACCAACCCTAGTTACGC